TTTGTTAATACATGAATTCTCGAAACAATTGCATTATCAGCCATCAAAATATTTTCTTTTTTCAAACACTCATACATATTTAAAACTATTCTTTGGGATTGTACGTGCAAATCTTTATTTTTTAATTCGGGGCTGTCATTAACATAATTGTCATTATCTATTGATAACACAGAAGTTGATGCATCTTGATCATTCGTATCAAATGGTCTCCAAAATGCCATCCTAGAAAAATATAATATTACTTACCTTATTATCCGCCTCTGATAGCTGCTTGCAAAATGAACTATTTAGGGTGTCATATAGCCAGACAAACAGGTGTTCCATCAAGATTTATTGCGATGCGCTTCGCTGTTGCCAAGTTTAAAATTATTGAATGTAACTTTAATACCATAATTAATATATCTGCAATTTTTCATGTTTCCAGGTAAGGTATAAAATCAATAAAATTTGGAAAAAAATAATACAATTCTTGAAACCGTTTTTCAGAACTTGGATTCTTAAAAGTTGTCTGATTTCTTAAAAGTCGATCATTATATCTATAAGAGTATTACCGCTAAATTCACCAACATGGCAACGTCGATATAGACCGAACATCGAAATCACCTCGAAATTCTGTCCAGACTACAATGTTGCCGATATTCGAAAATTACTTAGAGTATAAGTTATATATACAAAGTTCACAGTTGCTTTAATTCATTAGTGAAGAGTCCATGGAAATATTAGTACCTAGTTAATTAATTTATATAGATATATTTTTTGAGAATATGTTCATATTATTTTTTAAGAGTGTCGTTCGTTGACTAGCAATTGAATAATAACGAATAGAGAATAGAGAATATTTTTTAAATATAACCTTAGGAATTTTAGGAAATATGTCTGACAACCTTGATTTGAAAGGCGGTCTCTTTGAAATCAGAGTGAGGCATATTTATGTTGGAAAATTATTAGTGGATGTACTATAACATGTTGTTTTTTACACTGTCGGGGTATTAACCCTACGCCCAACCCCTAACCTGGAGGTCCAGTTTACTCGCTCTCGTCAGTTTCCGACCCAACTTTCCACCCGGGTTGAATACCGGAGCTCCAGTTGGGTTACTCCGTTTAACAGGGGGCATCAGCGTGAAGGTGACAGTCGGTTTTGAGTAGAAGAGGCTAAGTGGAGTAAACTGGAAGCAACTCCATGTTTTCGCATTCTACCCCTTTACCCACCACAACCTAATGTTAACATCTATTTATCCCTGCATTCCTAAACAGAAAAGAGGAGATAGCAATACAAAGATTAAGGATAGGACACACACGTATGTCCTCTACAGACCAACAGTTATGCTGCCACTGCAACGATATTCCTGTTACCATCAAGCACATCCCCACAGAATGTCGACACTACCAGGCCTCTCGAATTGCCCACAATGTAACCTACAGTTTAAAAGAACTTCTGAACTGTTTAAGCTGACACAAGAGCATAATATACTTCTTAAAGACTACACCGTTGTTTAACAAAATATAATTTACTTAATATTCTTTACTATTGTCTTCTTCTTCTCGTGCCATTCCTATCGGAGATTGGAAATCATCATGGCCACTGCGACTTTGTTAGCAGCGCGCCTGAAAAGTTCAATAGAACTACATCCGAGCCATTCACGTAGATTACGAAGCCACGATATTTTTCTTCTTCCCACACTTCTTTTGCCCTTAATTTTGCCCTGCATGATGTTTCTTAAAAGTTCGTACTTTTCACCTCTCACAATGTGCCCCAAGTATTCCATCTTTCTAGTTTTTATATGATTTAGAGTTTCGCATCTTTTGTCTAAAGTTTGGAGTACTACTAAAGCATTCGTATTCGTAACTTTATATTGATATCACGATTGCAAAAGAGTTGCGCATTCTATTAAATACTGATCTAGCGATTTCTATTCTACATCTAATCTCTTTTGTTTGATCAGTATCGTCTGTGATCCAAGCACCTAGATATTTATAACAGGGCACACGCTCAATCGTTGTATTGTCTATTACAAGATTAGCTCTGATGTTCTTTGATTTCGTGATTACCATAAATTTAGTTTTTTTCAAATTAATTTTCAAGCCGTTCAAGTATATATTGAGACTTTGAACGAGATGTTGTAGTTGTACTAGCGTTCCCGTTAGGAGAACTGTATCGTCAGCATACCTTATATTGTTGATCGTCTCACCATTTATTATCAGACCAAGATCTTCTTCCTCGAGTGCTTGTTCACAGATAGCTTCACTATACAGATTAAATAAAAGTGGCGATAAAATACATCCCTGCCGGACTCCTCGACGGATTTGAATTTCTTCTGTTAGTCTGCCCTCAACCTTGACATTTGCTGTTTGATTCCAATATAGATTGCATATAATTCGAATATCTCGGCTGTCTATATTTTTCTTTATTAGAACTTGTCTTAGTGGTTCATGTTGTACTTTGTCAAAGGACTTTTCGAAATCAATAAAGCAGGCGTAAATTTCTTGGTTCATGTCTAAGCATCTCTGTGAGAGAACGTTCATTGCAAACAGAGCATCCTTTGTACCCAGCCCTTTTCTGAATCCCATCTGAGTGTTACTGATGTCTACGTCTAATTTCCTATAGATCCTATTATGGATTATTTTTAAGAACAGTTTTAGAGCATGACTCATCAAAGCTATCGTACGATATTCGTTGCATTCCTTTGTATTTGCCTTTTTTGGCAGTAGTATAAAGGTCGAACGGAGCCATTCCCTAGGTATTATTCCAGTTCTATATATTGTGTTAAATAGATCTAGGAGTATTTTAATAGATTCATCGTCCATAAGTTTGAGCAGTTCTACGGGAATTTCATCAGGACCGGGGCCTTACCACTTTTTGCTTGTTTGATTGCATATTCTATTTCTTCTCTGATTATATCAGGCCCTGTATCATCTGTATATTCGTTTGGAGATTTCTTGTCTATCTTTGTCGTCAAACAGTTGTGATATGTATTCTGTCCATCGGTTCATTTTTTGTTGTAAATCTGTTATAATTATACCATCTATATCTTTGATCTGTCCTGTCTGTGTTGTTCTTCTCCTTCCTGTCATTTCTTTAATCTTTTTGTGAACATTAAAAAAGTCATATTTTCGCTCAATTGTTCCAACTCCTGGCATTGCTCACTTAGCCATCTTTCTCTAGCTTCTCTTATTTTCTTTTTTATCAGTTTATCTCTTTCTTTGTATCTTATCGGATTATTTGTTTTGTGTACCCTTCTTTCACGTATCAACTGTAGTATTTCCTCATTCATCCATTCTTTATGTTTCCTTTCTTTCGGTGTTAAATTTTCTCTCCCTGCCAACATTACGCCATGTTTAATATTCTCCCATTTTTGGTCTATGTTATCAGTATTTCTATTCAGTTTCTCTATATTTTGTAAATTTTCTTTAATGTTTACTATTGTTTTCTCTTTTATATGTTGTTCATTCAGTCTTCTCACGTCAATTTGTTTCTGTATGTGTTTTTTAATGATCTTTAGTTTTATTTTTAATGTGACTACTACAGGATTATGATCCGAGCCTATATCTGCTCCTGGGTAGGTTTTAGCTGAGAGTATAGAGTTGCGGAATCTTTGACTAACAAGGACAAAGTCAATTTGGTTTCTGACTACTCTACCTTTGGTGTCACTCGGAAATTTCCATGTGTACAGTCGTCTGTTAGGTAACTTGAAAAGAGTGTTAGCAACTACTAACTCCTCCGCTTGACAAAATTGTACCATACGGTCTCCTCGTTCGTTTCGTTCTCCTAATCCATAGTCACCCACATAACCGTCCACACATCCATGTCCAATTTTGGCATTAAAATCGCACATTACTACTGTAGTATGATGTTTCTTCATTGATTTTAGAATTTGTTCCAGATCGTAATAGAAACTTTCAATTTCATCATCATCTTTATCAGCCGTAGGAGCATATACTTGTATAATATTTATAATTTGTTTATTTGACTGAAGTTGTAGTGTCATTATTCTATTAGAGAAGGGAGTAAAGCTTGTTACACAGTTACTGATTTTCTTTGATACCAAGACAGCGACACCGTAACGATGAGTTGAACTGATAGTGTCTGAATAATAAAGTGTTCCACTGTTATTCGTGCATTTTCCTGATCCTGGCCACTGTACATCACTTATACCTAGGACATCAATTTTAAGGTTTTCCATTTCAAGGGCTACATTATTTATTTTACCTGCTGCAAAGAGGCTTCTTACATTCCACGTCGCTATTCTTAATATCTTAAGGTGATTGATATTACACAGGGATTTCGCTGGTTCACGACCCGAGAGGCCCTATGGTCTGTCTGTGGTTTTCCTCTCCTGCCGGATCTTGGGTTCCGAGGTCCATGATCAGTAACATGAGTGATTGATGTGACATTTGCCATCATGATTATACTAGGGAATCTTAAAGATTATTAATACAGTGGTTTCCCGTTGCCTTCTGTATCCTTACGCCGTTGACCATTCCTTGATTCATCCGCCTTCGAGACAGATTTCTCTATCTCAGGACAAAAGAGTGCCCTGCCACTTACCAACTCATCTGCCCGAAGCCGTTGGTAGGTAAGTGGGGGATTGCTTATACCGGCAATCGCTCGGTGGAATTGTCGCCATATCTGGCTACCCTCACTTAGTTTAGCCTGCAGACCAATGCAGTTGCCCGGGATGTGGCACATGGAGCCATAAGTGAGAGTTAGTTGTCTTATGAGGACCAGTTATCAAGAACCATCTCCCGTCTATGACGCTCGATGTGGTCGTTCCGATAAAAGGTACTACCTCTATAACACAACTCTACACCCCTTTACTATTGTAAAGAATTGTTATTCTTTACTATTGTAAACTCTGTATCATAACTCTGTAGGTACTATTGTAAACCTTTGCTCCTATGTCAATGACCAAAGATGTCGAGACACGTTAATTAAAAAAAATATTAACGATAAATTTGTATTTAAAATAGTTTTGATTTTGAAGTTTTGTTTTTATTTTTAGATACAGCCGAGAGTGGAGGTACCACATAGAAGAAAAACTTTGGATGACGCAAGTACCGGGTATGGTTCTTATGGAAAAGACATCAACGTACGAGAGAGGGACTTACTACTTCTTCGACCCGCAAAATTGGCGAAAAATCCCGAAAGAATTCTACTTGGAATACAGTAAACTCGAAGGACGACCGGTCATGAATCAAAACCTACACCACAATTCATGAAAGTCCTTATCCATGACACCACCCGTTTATGAATAAATGAAAAGTGTATAATTATATTCGGAATAGAATTGGTTCGTTCATAAAACATTAAGACCACTGTTTTAAAATAGGTAGAGATCACAAGGTGATTGATATCAGTCGTTAGTCCAGGTCCGTACGGTCGTAATTTATTTTTTTGCTTCATTCTGTAAAATTATTTGCTAAAATAAATTTTATGAAACTTCTAGAAATATCGTTAGACTTATTGTCATGTGGAGTTGCATTCTACAAAAATTTTTAATAGACTTTATCCATCTAAAGAAATCGACAGTGTTTATATTATGTTTTTTTAGTCATTTCCTTAATATAGGGTGACAACTATTCATTTTTCCCATTTTGTATAACGATTTTCCAATCAACTGTTTGTTTTGAATATATGGAAGTAATATTACTAGAACACGGATAAATCAATAATCAATTAACTCAAGACACGAGAATATTAACTTTTAGCCACCAAGCAACTTGTGTCCAAGCAAATATTGGACACTTGGTTTTATCAAAAGCATGGCAACACCGAATCAATTCATGGAGCAATCAACCGACGACAGTGAAAGAGACATTTCCGATGGCAAATAAAGTCTTATAGTTACATAATATCTAAATTAATAGGCCTTAGATGGCAACAAAAACATCAATGATCCATAGGTCGCTGGTTTATATCCGGCTCGAAGGACCATCGATGTTTTTGTTGCGACCTAAGGCCTATTAATTTAGATATTATTAAGACTTTACTTTGTTGAATGTATATTACAATTTTTATGATATATAAGTATATTGTATGAATCGCGAATTGTTAATAATCGACGCTGTCATCGGAAATGTCTGTTTCACTGTCATGGGTTGATTGCTCCGTGAATTGATTCTGCGTTGCCATGCTTTTGATAAAACTAAGTGCCTGATATTTAACACAACTAGTATATAGGGAGAAAAATGTAAATCCCTTTTCTACCCACATACTATTCCACATAACTAATTTCTTTTAATAATTAGGGCGAATGTTAGGGTTGACAATATAAAATTTCAGCGATTATTATGTAGGGACAAAAACACAAACCCATTTTCTACCCATATATTGCTCGACATGGCTAATTTATATTACTAATAAGGGGGAAGTTAGGGTTATATGTTCTCTCGTATCGTTATTTCTTCATCCTTTACGCTCTAGGCTGCACTAATCCTCAGGTTAGACAAATAAACCGCTCAAAACTAAAGGATCAATTTTTTTATCTATTGAAACGTACTGATAACATTTCATCTCCGTTGACCTTATCAAAAACTAGCCTGAAAAAGTCCATAGTGGATCAGATTATCTTTTTTCTTTTCAGAATGCTTTTACACATGTTTACATCCATGTCTTCCTATTGTATACTCTACCAACCTACTTCTCTCCTAGTGCTTTACAGATATCGTATCAACTGGACACTGATCTACCTCGCCTAGCCTTTTATCATTCGAATTTCTCTATTCTGTTGTTTGATTTTGTCCATTCCCCTTTCTACTTTTTATGTGACGACAATATTAACTTTTTAAGAAGTTATTAGACATATGGAGGCATGAATTCCGGTTTTAAAATCTTCACATTTTAATTCTGAATCTGTTGCCATTTTTGCTGCACTTGTCCCTGAAGAACAAACTAACCGACCATATGAAAATAAATTATAAATTTTTGGAGAAAAAAAACAAGAAACAAGGACATTTCTAGGAAGACATTCCTTGACATTGCCAAAAAGAAGGAATCACAAAACTGTCATTCAATTAATGTTTCGTCAAGTCAATGTGATTTCTGGAAATTGGCTTGACGAAACTTGTAACTTAATGGCAGTTTTGTGATTCCTTCTTTTGACATTGTCAAGGAATATCTTCCTAGAAATAAGAATTTTATACTTGTTGCAGTAGGGGTGCTGTTCTTTGTATGGTGTTTGTAATGATAACGGTATCATCGACATTTCTGATGTTAATACCACTACTTTCGTTCATATTGATATCTTATCCAAGTTTGGGTAAAGCTTACTAATAGATAAACTTACTATAGTTATCAAATAAAAGTGGGGAAAACCTACAGCCTTGTCGAACATTTTTCCCTTGGTTCCTTTTGACCAACTGTAAGTCACTAATGTCTTCTAATTTCTTTTGGTTGTTTAAACTTTATTTAAAAACGTTGGTGACTCACTATGATTCAAAATGGATGTTAGGCTAGAAACATCTACAGCTATGGAAATCATAGTAGTCATCATATTATGTAAATAAAGTTTTTCAATAACCTATGGTTTCCATCATCCTGAGGTCTCAACGAATATTTCGTTCTGTTGCATTTAATGAACTGTTTAGAAAAACAAGGATGAGGCAAATTAAACTATTTTGACATCAGATAGTGAGTGTTAACCTTTTGTTTAACCCATTTAAATATATAAATTACTCATCATTAATATTGTTCTGAAGCTATTTTCTTGTGGTATTTTAAATTAATTACTATCTAACTGGGAATAAGCCACTATTAAAGGTTAAAGTATGTTTATTGGCGTTTCAATTTCCACTTTGGAAATCGTTCTTTGAGAATGACATACTGGTGGCTTATTCCCAATCAAATAGTAATTTACTCATCATTAGATAAATAATTTCTACAAAATGTTAGATTTTCAATATTTTCATTCGTTATATGTAGTTTATTTCGCCCAATTATGCTTTTCCTTGAATCTGTTTGGCTTTTATGGCACCACCAGTTCCTTTTTCCGTTATTGCTGATCCTCTGGATTTTCTCCTTATATCCGTTCTCTTTGTTTGCCATAAAAGTAGTTGTTTTCTAATTTTTTTGATATCCAATGTTATGGATCACTCGTTGGTTGTATACAATTTATCTTTATTACACTATAGCAAGTGTATCTTATGCTGAGGTGCGCGAAATTAAATGTTTTTGACCCGAATTGCCAAACATGTCCGACCTGCCATGCCTTTCGCCGACGTTCATTCACTGGTTAGTGTTAAGTGTTGGTATTATATGCTATAAAAACTGACTATCTCCAGCTAATGTCATTGCCGCATTCAGTTTTGTTTAAGTTCACCACCTAAATCATAAATTCTGTAGTCTAATTGAAGGGGTCAGTGCAAAAAGTGGCTAAGTAAGGCATTTTTTTATAAACAAAGTACACCTTTAAGCTATATACTAAACGAGACAACACAATTACAAATTTATTTATTTAAGAGAAAAAAATATTTTTAAATATGGACTTAACTACTTTTTGCGAAAAAAAAAATCATCTAAAAATTAAAAACTGGAATTATGGCAAAAATATATTTCTGAAAATCTTAAGTATACATAAAATTTTACTCATATATATCAACATCACTTTCGATATGATCCTTTTTATTCCCAGTGTTATTCTAATTCAATATTACCTGGAATAACTAGTTTGACAAGTTTTGTAACAGCTTCAAACTTTGTAGGTTTTTATTTTTAAGTATCTGTTGCCATAATCAAAACATACAATCATTCCAGAAGAATCAGTTGATTTTTGAACCTCAGCTAGTTGTGTTTTAAATACATCTGCATTTCTAAGAGAATCTCATTATCCCTTTTAAGTGTGTTTAAGGTTTCCTCATTAGATTCCAATTCAGCTTGTTAGTCAGCCTTATCATCAATCAGCCAATCGCGTCCATATATAGGCCTCCCTCAGTTCTTTCCAGTGTTCTCTACACTAGGCCGCTTGTAGCCAGTTTCCCGCTACACGTTTTATATCATCGGTCCATCTAGTCGGTGGTCGTTCTCCGCTTCTTTTATAGTTTCTGGGCCTCCATTATACGTCTTGTCCACCGTCCATCTTGTGTTCTGGCTAAGTGCCCTGCCCAGTTCCACTTAAGCGTCGTGGTTCTTTCGATGACGTCTTGAACTCCTGATTTTTGCCTGATTTGTTGGTTTGTTATGTGGTCTCGAAGGCTCACGTTCAACATTGCAAGGTCAGCCTTATACTAACTAGAAATTTTGTACAGATGTTGCATAATCCGTTCTTGGAAATACCTGCGCAAAAATCCCATATGAGACTTTATTATCAGAATGTGTGTATAAATTTTCATGTAGTTGAGTGATTGATAGATTAGAGTTCAGGTATTTTCTATTACGGCTATCATATCTTGTATAGTGCGATTATCGAGCTGGTAATTCAGCAATAAATTTTTTGTGTGTTGTTCTGTCAGGCCTAGTGTCATGATGGCCTCTATTGTCTGCTGGATGAGCTGCAGTTTTAACCTTTTTGTCTAACCTAGATTTAAAAATCCGTGTATAGCTTAAAATGCTTTTTGACATAAAGACACTTTTTCATTTTGGGAATTATTATTAACCTCATATGAGAAGACTACGACTTCCTGATTACTCTTTATTACGTACTTTTCATAACTTTCTTAACACAACCGTGTAAATAAATTGTTTGTTCTGAATGGGTAGATAGACTACAGTACTTTTCAAAAATATGTGCTTGCTGTAAATCACTTAGCTTAGTTGCACACTTACACCTACAAACGCCAATTTCACGACGTTTATTCTTTTCTGTAAAACGATTTTTCTGTTTTAAAGTTATTTTCCATTTTTTTGTGTTTCTTTCCTTTTGAAACAGAATGCAAATTTTCGGAATCCCCTCCAACAGGAACAAAGTTATAGGTTACATTTTCTGGTTCTACAAATCTCCTTAATTCTTGCTTGATTCTAAAATAAAAAATGTACTTTACTTAACAAATAATCTTAAATTCCTTATTTTTACTAAGCTATGCTTATTGTTTAATATTGTATTTCTCATGTATCTTCTATTAACTTAAACTTCTTATTTATTTTTAATATAATATAGAAAATATTCTTACCAAAATCAGACATTTTTTCTCTACGATACTTTCGTATTATTCCAAAAAAATTCATAGATCAAAGTTACACGTGAACCTATTTCATCAACAAACTTGTCAAGTTAGGAATCACTGTGTCAGTAGCAAAAAGTTGTCAAGTCTATAGACTTTGATACATTTTGACACTTAACTTCTTGCACTGAAATCATGATTGATTAAAATTTTAAGATATGGGATTTTTCCCAGCAAGACACTTTTTATGAGAAATCTGACCTCGCCACCTTATATATAGTACAAATAATTTTATATAGATGTCGCTACTTAACTTAATTCTAGAAACATATGGACTTAGCTACTTTTTGCACTGACTTCTTCAATCATTTTATCAGTTGTTATCTCGTCTTTCATATCAGAACATTAAAATATCAGCATTTATTCCTTTTTATATGTTGTAAATGCCAGTAATAATTGTTTTTAGTTTTAAAAACATTCCATCTTCTCGTAAGATACTAATTTAACTCAACAGCATTTATTTTTTAGCTTAATTGTGTTCTAGTTTTACTCCCGTTAACTAATAAGATGCATATATTTGTTTAATTTATTTTACTGTCCGACTTGAGCCTCAGTGATATCTAATTATGTATTTTAACCATGATATTTGTCATCTTCCTGAACATTTATAACTTTTGACATA